CCAAGGCTGGAGTGCCCAATGGCACGACTCAGCTCTCACCGCAACCTTCCGATCTATCCGCAGCGGTCAAGTGATTGTTCCTGCCTCAGCCCCGGCAGGTAGCATGCCGGGGATTACCAGGGCAAGCGCCACCATGCCTTTTTGGGGCCCAAATTTCTGGTATTATTTTTTTAGTTAGGAAGATGGAGCGTTTCTCCATGGTGGTCGGGCTGCGTCTTTGAATTCCAGTCCTCAGGTAGATCCATCCCATCTTGGCCACCTTCCCAAAGTGGCTGGGGAATTCAGGCCAGTGAGCCACTGTTGGGGCCCGGCCAGACACTCTTAAAATAATACTTAATGGGCCAGGCCATAATATTTATGCCATAATAAAGGGATGGGGTTCAAAAATTCAGGGCTATCTTTTTCTTTCTGAACTTATAACATGCATGATTTTTACTGCAAAACAGTGATTAAGAAACTCCAGGGGGACGGGCATGAAGAGGAGAGACAGTGGGGCCAAGGGGAGGCCGAACAGGAGTAGAAAAAAGACAAGTGACCACTAGTCAATGGCGTTTTGGAAAGCCTGCAATTGGTGAAGTGCAGTTATGAAAATATTTGTCGCTAAAAAGGACCATCAGGCCTCCCGAGGCCCTCTGCCTCTTCACCGTGTCTTGACACTGCAACAACCCTATCACTGGTGGTTGCATTACTTGGGAAACTGGGAAGTAGATGATTGGATGGCTTTTACTTTGGCCTGCCACATGAGCCTGCGGGACATTACCAGACTCTCCAGGAGAGCAAACGGAAGTAGTCCATCACTCTTTTTTACCATTTCCTCTGTTGGAATGAAATCAGGGACCTCTACTACAAAATTCTGTTGCTTTAAAAGACTTATCCCCTACCTGACTATGGCAGATTTACAGGCCAAAAAGGAAACAAGCCTTAACATATTTTAAAGTAAAGGGGCTTTCAGGTTAAATTTTGTTGCTGTTTCTTTAATTTCCCTTTAGGTGCAAAAATGCATTTCCTACTTTGGAAAGGAAGTCATAATCTCTTTTACTGCCATTATTCTTTTTTTTTTTTTTTTTTTGAGCGGGAAGGTTTCGCTTTTGATTGGGCCCAGGGACTTGGGAGGTGATAATAGAAGCACGCGATCTTGGGCCCTCACACGCCAATCTCCGACCTCCCTAGGTTTCTAACATTCCTCCATGCACTTCAGGCTCCAAGATTAGCGCGGGATTAGAGTCATGTGCACGCGCCCGGCTAACTTGTAGTTTTGTAAGAGACCGGGTTTTCTCCATGTGGTCAGGCTTGGTCGTCTCCAATTTCCCATCCTCAGGGTGATCTGCCTGCCTCAAGGCCCTCCCATAAAGTGTTGGGATTACCAAGGGCGGTTGAGCCACTGTGCTGCCTTTTTTTTTTTTTTTTCTTTTTTTTTTAGATCCCAAATCTGATTAAAATAAACTGACCTGCTTATGTTTTTAATTGCAGGAGGTCTATCAGGTTCCACGGAGGTTGAATATTCATGGAGTGCCCATTACAATTTCCACTTCCTGCTGAAACGGTCCATTTCCCTTCCACCAGAATGAGCTCACTTTCTTAGGGACATGCAATCTGTAGGGCCAAGGTCCACAATATATATTTTCCAAAAACCTGAAAAGGAGGATAAATGCATGATTCTCTCAAATGCCCTGAAGCAATAATTAAAAACTCTGAAGCTGTTCAATAAAATCAGAGTTACGATTGACAATCCTAAGTGATTAAGTCTTGAAGATTTGTAGGGCATTTTAAACACAGAGGGAAAAAAGCCTACATTCTTCTTCTAAGAATTTGTAGTCTAACCCTGGAAGTTGCTGGGGCTTACAAAACAGAAAAGCAGAATGATGAGGCAAGGCATGGGGAGGTCAGAAGGTAGGGGAGCCATCTCCCAGCCTATTAACATACTGGCTGGGGGCCTTGGGCAAGTTAGTTTAACTTCTCTAACTCTCAGTTTCCGTCATTGTGTAGGAAAATCAAAGAACAGGGAAATGTATGCAGGAACACAGCACAGTGTTCTGATATAGCAACAAATGTTCAATAACTATTAATATAATTAAAATATCAAAAATTAGGGTACATAGGATGTACCCTAGCCCCTGGGGTAAGTTTAAGTATCTTTGCTTGGAATCGATGGAATAAATTTAACATTTTTTTCTTGTGCCTTCCAGGACTAATTAAGCACAGCTCTGGCCTTATAAAAACCCAATATTAAGCCAGATACAAAGGAGAAAATTGCAGGCCAGGCGCAGTGCTCATACCTGTAATCCCAGCACTTTGGAAGGCTGAGGCGGGTGGATCATCTGAGGTCAGGAGTTCGAGACCAGCCTGGCCAACACGGCAAAACCCCATCTCTACTAAAAATATAAAAATTAGGGCTGGGACATGGTGGCGTAGTTTACCTGTAGGTCCCAGACTACTCAGGAGGCTGAGGCAAGAGGAATCGCTTGAACCTGGGAGGCAGAGGTTGCAGTGCAGCGAAGATCATCGCACCACTGTGCTCCAGGCCACTGTGCTCCAGCCTGGGTGACAGAGTGAGGCTCCATTTGGAAAAAAAAAAAAAAAAAAAAAAAAAAGGAGAGCTTCCTTCCTTAATCTCAGACAGCACAATTCAGGTGTCAACAAGGTAAGAGAAGATGCTCTTTTTCAGAGTCAATGGGTCACTCACTACATAAAATAGCTTCTCGTCTCAGAGACGAAGATTCCCGAGAGAAGCAAACATGATAGGTAGTTCTTTCCAAGGTGGTACAAAATATAAGTGATACATTCCTAAACAGAACACAGGATGAAAAATACTCAAGATTCTCACCAGTTTGAAGCTTTCACTTTCAGGCAATTGTTTAATACCAACTTCGAGGCTGCCATCTTCCTCACTACTAACAGGTTCAGTGCCGCTCTGATCCTATGGAACGTTAAAAAGAAAATGGCAAAGATGTCATTCTTCACTCACACTCCCTCGAATTATACACATACTCACTGTCATTTGCTCATTGTATGCTTGTGGTGGACATTGTTTCCTCTGAGCACACCTTTTCTGTTTTCTTTCTCTCTAGCAGAAGACTGTTTTGCTGTTGTTGTTTCAGGTATCTATCTCTGCTGCTCACATACAGGCCTTAGGGAAAGCCGGTCCCTACCCAAGGACCGGCCTAGGATAGTCTTATTCTTTTCCCAATGATTTTGTCAGGAATGGGCAGATCAGGAATAGATGTTGTCAGTTCTGGCCAATGAAATATAAGGAGACGTTTGCTGGAGATGTGTGGAAAAGTTCTTCCTTAATCTTAAGAGAGCCGCAAGAAGTCCTTATACCTCCCAAATTAACAAGCGAGCATGAGCCCAAGTTTCCATGGACAGCTGTGCCATGACGACGAGGGAACCAGCCTCAGAATCAGGCTGACCCTGTGGGTTACAAAGCAAGGGTAGAGATAGAAAGAACTGGTTCTCTGATGGCAAACTAGGTCACTGGACTGAGCAAACTTGGAGCCCAGCCTTATCCTTAACCACCTTCTGTGACAGCTGATACATTTCCTATTGCTTCGGCCAGTTTGAGTTAGCCATTCTGTTACCTCCAGCCCAAGCTTTCTCACTGAGTCAGTTGACTGTATTTTGTATATGACTAAACTGCTTGAGATAAGAGACTGGGTTTATCTCGTTGATTTCTTTATTATTTTTTTATTTAATAAAAAATAATGTTTCTTTAAAATTTAATAAGCAATTTTTTGTTGTTGTTGGGGGAGACAGTCTTGCTCTATTGCCCAGGCTGAAGTGCAGTGGCATGACCTCCGCTCACTGCAACCTTCGCCTTCCAGGTTCAAGTGATTCTTGTGCCTCAGCCTCCTCAGTAGCTGGGACAACAGGTGCATGCCACCACACCAGCTAATTTTTGTATTTTTAGTAGATGGGGTTTTGCTATATTGGCCAGGCTGGTCTCAAAGTCCTGACCTCAAGTGATCTGCCTGCCTCAGCCTCTCAAAGTGTGTCTTGTTGATTTCTGAAATCAAGTCCCATCACCATGCCTGGCACGTGGAAACCACCTAACACTGATGGAACTAATGAGTGCACTGAGTACTCGTTTTCTTTCGTGACTTTTTCCTGCAGAATCCTGAAAATATGTATTTACATAAATGAGACACCTGGCAATAATACATACCACTAAAAATCTAAAACATATTAGGTATCTCCTCAATTGAATTGTGACATATTAAATGTTATAGTTAACTAACTAGAAGTTACTTTACTTTCTGGGGGTATATAAGGGAGGATAAGGATGAGAAATGGAATACCCACATTGTACTTAACTGTTAACTAACTAGAAGTTACTTTACTTTCTGGGGGTATATAAGGAAGGATAAGAATGATAAATGGAATATCCACATTGTACTTACCTGGACTTTTATTTTTAATCACCACCATCCTGGGATTACTACAAATTTGGCTGAAATAGTTTATAGGGAAAATAGTTTTGATTTTGAGACATTCAATCTCACTCATAATTTGATGCAATTAAAGCAAAGAGAGCAATCTTTCAACTATCAAATGGACAACAAAATAGGAAAAGAACATTCAATATTGGTAATGTCAGAGAGAGAGGAATTTTTATACACCACTGAGTGAATGTAAATTAAGATAATCTTTTCAGAAAAAAAAACCATACTCTGTGTGTGTGTGTGTGTGTGTGTGTGTGTGTGTGTGTGTGTGATTGCTTACTTCTGGGGAGTGGAATTAGGGAATGGGTAATTTTGCACTAATTATTTCTATGCTGTTTCATTAGAGAAGAATTATCACATACAATTGCATATTTAAACATAAAGTAAGGGGAGACTATGAGAAACACCTAAAAGAAGAAAAAAAAATTAAAGAAAACAAGCAGCACAGACTTTAGAATTGGGCAGATTTGGGTTCAAATCTCAACTTTGCCACTTACAATTATATGACTTGGGGCAAGTTGCTTGCAAACCTGAGTACAGGTTAAGTATCCCTTGTCCAAAATGCTTGGAAATGTTTTGGACTTCAAATGTTTTCAGATTTTGGAATGTTTGAATTATACTTACCAGCTGAGCATCCCAAAACCAAAATGAAAAATCTGAAATCCAGAATGCTTCAATGGGCATATCTTTGGAGCATCATGTTAGTGCTCAACAAATTTCAGATGTTGGAGCATTTCTAACTTCAAATTTGGGATGCTCAACCTGTAACTTAACTTGTTTTTAAAGTGCAGATAAAATACCAGATTAAAAATACTACCCTATAAGGTTGCTATAAAAGATTAATGAGTTAATATGTAAAATATCTATTTGCATAACACCAGGTACAGTTAACTTTTGTTTCTAGCTTTTAAATATAATTTACTATTTTATTTTCTTTCTTTTTTTTTTTTTTTGAGACGGAGTCTCGCTCTGTCACCCAGGCTAGAGTACAGTGGCATGATCTCGGCTCACTGCAACTTCTGCCTCCTGGGTTCAAGCAATTCTCCTGCCTCAGCCTCCTGAGTAGCTGAGATTACAGGTGCCCACCACCACGCCCAGCTAATTTTTGTATTTTTAGTAGAGACGGGGTTTCACCGTGTTAGCCAGGATGGTCTCGATCTCCTGAAAGAGAATCGCTTGAACCTGGGAGGCAGAGGTTGCAGTGAGCCGAGATCATCGCACCACTGTGCTCCAGCCACTGTGCTCCAGCCTGGGTGACAGAGTGAGGCTCCATTGGAAAAAAAAAAAAAAAAAAAAAAAAAAAGGAGAGCTTCCTTCCTTAATCTCAGACAGCACAATTCAGGCTCTTTATTCTTGCACTATCTCATATAGTCTTCCTAATAACCTGCTATGGGGTATATACCACCATGATCCCAATTCATAAATGAGGATAATGATACATTTTAAATAACTTGCTAAACAACTCCAGGTAGCAAAAGGTAGATCCAAGAGTCAGAGCTGGGAAAGGGTCATGCTAGGCCCTCAATAAATGATGCTCTCATTTTTCTCTCATTCTTCCTTTTCAGTATTGAGTATTGACAACTGATCTTACAGAAGATAAGACCCACAATCTTTCAAAAAATCATTGTTAATAGACCATGGATTTTTAAAAACATGTCTTAGCATTTTTTAAACCAGAAAATTGCATTAGATAGAACATCCTCTTCTCAGTGAATTTTGGATAATCAAGGAGTTACCATGTAAAATAAACATACCCAAGTTAATACATCTTGAAAACATACAGATTTTCAGCATTTTTGACAGTGGTAATGTAAGTTTTAGAAACAGAAATTCTGAACAAATGAATTAAAAATCAATATTTATGGAAAACTTGTAATGTCCAAATTCCTTAGTGTGTCTAGTTCTGCAAGCTGTGGGAGCCCCTGAAGAAAGCCTGGCGAGGTTATGGTGGCCAAGTAGAGCTTTGAAATAGTTGATGTTGGGCCAGGTGTGGTGGCTCATGCCTATAATCCCAGCACTTTGGGAGGCTGAGGCAGGTGGATCACGAAGTCAAGAGTTCAAGTGACCAAGATGGTGAAACCCTGTCTCTACTAAAAATACAAAAAAATTAGCCAGGCGTGGTGGTGGGTGCCTGTAACCCCAGATCCTCAGGAGGCTGAGGCAGGAGAATCGCTTGAACCCGGGAGGCGGAGGTTGCAGTGAGCCGGTATCATGCCACTGCACTCCAGCCTGGGCGACTCATATCAAAAAAAAAAAAAAAAAAAAAAAATTAGCCAGTGTTTGTGGACTGCAGCACATTAGACTGTAGAACAAACCCACAGGTTCCATTAGTAACCCTGCAAATGGCCACCACCTCTGGTCTCAGATGACGGAGATTCACACATGAAGAGGGGTCAGCTGAAACCATTCATCTAATTATGCACATGTCTCCTTAGGGAAAGGAAAGTGTTCCTTAAATAAATTAGAGGAATCTTTACTTTTATATTTCTCAGCAATATGCATATTGAAGATGAGATATTCTTGGTCTTTATAAAATGAATACTAAAGTAGAGGAGAAAACAGCTGTTTAAGGGATGCGTCAACTTGTAAAATTTAAGAAAACGTGGGCAAAGCAGTCTAGGTTCCAAATAGTGTATGCATCCTTTAAGATGTGAATAGAAACAAAAAACGCCCTCTATGTTTACACTACATCCCACACTTAGAAACTAGAGGATCAAATGAAGCAGAATTTATCATTCAAAGCCAGGTCTCAAATGCCACTTGTTCCATTGTATCTTTTCCTTCTCCTTAGCTGGGGGACATGTCTCCTTCCTCTAAATTCTAACATTCTACCTGAACCTCCTCTGCCACTTAACATTCATCTCTTTTGTATCCTAATTATGTATGTGCAGAACTGATCTCCCTGATGGGACTGAAAGGTCCTTGAATTGAGCATCTGGGCCTCATTCATTCCCATTGCCTGATTCATTTTTCACTCTAGGTCTGTTTTATTTCAAATTCCATACTCCTTTTAACGGTACTACGCCTCCCCTCTTTTCTTCTTAGTCTGAGATGACTCTGTAGAGGAGGGTTTGAAGTCCAAATCTAGATGGAGTTGGGAGTCAGGCAAAAAGGAAGTTGGAATTGAGGGAGGATAGCAATAAAGCATTTCCTTTCTAGGAAAGCTAAAGTTTGTAACAGTTTAATGTTTACATTAATGTTACATCACAAGGAGAGCTAAAGTTGTAATGTTTACGCTAAAATGAGGTACAGAACACAACAATGTGGATCCCTTTCCTCCCTCCCTCCCTCTTTCTTTTCTTTTCTCTTTTTTCTTTTCTTTCTCTTCTCTCTCCTTCCTTCCTTTCTTCCTTCCTCTCTTCTCTTTTCCTTTTCCTCCTTCCTCTCTTCTCTTTTCCTTTTCCTCCTTCCTTCCTTTCTTTTCCTTTTCCTCCTTCCTTCCTTTCTCTTTCTTCCTTTTCCCCTCCGTCCCTCCCTC